CAGTCAGTGACATCTCAAAACACAACAGTTTCAGAAATGCTCCTTTGGGGACAGTAACTCCCCCTTTGAGAACCTCTGAACTTGAAATGCCCACTTCCTGAATCCTGAAATTTCTGAGGATTCACATTTCATTCTAAAATGTAAATGACAGTCCTATATTCTGTGACAGCATAGGAGGGTCATTGTGTAAATATGTTTGTAATTCCATGCATCTGAACTGCATGGAGGCCTCAGTATATACATCTTCCTTCAAAGAAGTCTAACTCCAGGGCTTGGGATATAGCTCAGTGGCAAAAGTGCCTGCCTGGCAAGCACAAGGTCCTGAGTTTGATTCCCGGTACCAAAAAAAAGGAAGCCTAACTCTAAAAGCACTGAGTAATATAGATGGCCCTAAATGGTTACATTTCACCATACACAATAAAAATTCCCTAAAATCCACTTCAAACCTCCTTCCTCCCCTCACAATGCCCCTCTTTTATAGTTTAATTGGCTTCAGGTCAAAATCAAATCCCAGGGCAAGGTTTCCCGTGTCCCGCAGGTGGACACACAGAATGATGTTGGTATTTATCCTTCCATCGTTTTATGGTGAGGGGAAGAATAGGAGAAGGCAAGTGGACAGCTAGGGCTTTAGGAACAGATTTATGGGGTCACCCAGTCCTCCGCTCGGGCCCCTCCAGCCTTCCTGCCCAGCCTCCAAGCCCTGGCTTGTTCCGACTGCTTGGGGATCCGCAGTGTTGACGGTGCACAGTGGCTCTCTCCAGAAGTGCTGGTGATGGCTTCAGAATTGCTGTAAAATAAACTGGTTTGTTCTCAAGTGTTCATCTGACAGTGAAAAGTTAGGGGAAAATGTGAAATGATGTCACTTCAGACAACAAAACAAAATTCCTAATTTCCTGCTGGATATCTTGAAGGCTGAGCTATCACAATGAAGTTTTTTTCCTTAATTTTAATGAGAAAAAAAATAAAACAAAATTTCAATACCAGGTAATAGGAGAGTAACAATGGTTAATACATTGTGTATTGTTATCTTTAAATTAGTTATTCAGAGTACAAGATATAGGCATTTAATTGTCCAAACAATATAGGCACAAACCTTTCTTTTCAGTGAACTAAGAGAAATTAGTAGTATAACTATCGTGTGTGTGTGTGTGTGTGTGTGTGTGTGTGTATAATATATATATTATATATATATATATGTATGTATTTGCTACAAATGAGGTGTTAAGAGGTTGGATGTGGTGGTGCACACCTGTAATTCCAGCACTTGGGAGGCTGAGGCAGGAGGATTTCTGTGAGTTTGAGGCCTGTCTATACTACAAGGTGAGTTCAAGGCCAGCCTGGACCACACAGCAAGACTCTGTCTCAAAAAACCAAAAAATTAAAAATAAAAATTAGAAAATGAAGTTTTAGAGAGACATCACCTATTGTACTTTTAGGGATCCACCTATCAGTATTCTCCTTCTCACTAGGACCAAATACATATTTTCCTCATTCAGGGTACCCAGAGTTACATATATATTAGCTGAACAATCTTTTCAAGAATTCTCAAACACACACACAAAAACACCCCACTAAATCTGTATGCAGGTATGAAACAAGTGGAAACCGAGACCGTGAAACACAGAGAGAAAATGATTACCAGTGAGATGCTGCCTTATTCAGAACCTAGTCCTATTTATCTCTGAAAGGCCTGAAGTTGGAAGCTAAAATTAGTTGCTATTTAATAGGTGTATACGTTTTAAAAACAATTTTTCTATTTTAAATAAGGTATTCAGAAACTCCTCTCCAACGAGCCTCAGCGATTCAGCGTTGGTCACTAAGCTGGTGGAGGGTGGGCAGCGAGGGCAGTGAGCACAGTCCTATAAAATGAAAATTAGAAAGGACCTTTGCTTAAAAAGAAAAGCAGGCAAGATATTCTCGACAACAGTCACAAAGAACGGTAGGTCGGGTTCTCTGAAAAGTGAGGCCGGCCACAGCCCCAAGGAGACCCCGGCTCCCCCAGCAGCGTGCACAGACCCAGGGACCGCGAGCGGAGCGCCACGGCGGTGCAAAGACCACACAGGTCGCGCGCGGATGGGGCTGCGGTTGGAGCATCTGAGCCCACTCGCGACATGGTCCTGGGACTGTTAGAAAGCTAGAGTACAATGATTTCCATTTGATATAAAAGGAAAATATGACTGATGACAACAGAAAAGGAACAAAACTTTTTTAAAACATTTAAAATAATAAATTAGTTTGTTTCCAAGATGTTTCTTGCCATCAGTTTTGTGGACTTCTTTTTCTCCCTCTCTCCCTTCCTTTCTCCCTCTTTCTTTTCTTTCTTCTTTCTGTTTAAAAGGCTTTATTTCCCTAGAGAGTTTTGGGTTTACAGCTAGGTTGGGTACAGGGAGCTGGGAGTGGAGGCACACGCCTGTAATCCCATTACTCGGAAGGCAGAGGCAGGAAGATTGCTGGGAATTCGAGGCCAGTTTGGACTACACAGTGAGCTCTAGGCCACTTTAAATTACATAATGAGACCCTGCCTCAAAAGCAAGGTTTGTAGAGGATACAGAGACTGCCCTACCCGACACCAGTACACGTGGCCTCCTTTAAAATCAGCATCCACGGCATTCATTTCAGTGGAGGCGACATCAACATCTCTTGCCAGCTAGGTTTCTTTGTGTGCAAGGTTCACTCCTGGGGCTGCACATCTTAAGAGTTTCAGTGAATGCACAACGATGTATGCTCACCACGGTAGTATCACTCAGAGTTGTCTCCCTGCCTTGAACACCTTTCTGTTTACCTAACAACAGAACTCTCATTCCCGGCTGAGTCACTGCTGCTTTGGACTTCAGCCACTCAGGGATGCCAGAGGTACAGCTTAATAAACACAACACATATTAAATTCAATCTCAGAGCTTCTTCCTTGAGAACCCTACTGGTAGAAGTAGTTTCATCACTCACAGGAATTTTCTGCATTTAAAAATTTTCACTTTTTTTTTTTTTTTTTGAGACAGGCAACTTCTTGCTGTATAGCTCAGGCTGGCCTTGAACTCACTGTATAGCTCAGGATGGCCTCAAGCTAGCGACAGTTCTCCTGCTTCAGCCTCCTGAGGGCTGGGAATACAAGTGTGCACCACCTCACCCTAGTTTCTACATTGTTTTAGACATAATACATCCCAAGGTAGGTTAATCATCTTATCTCCGAACTTCCTTACCATTTGTAGTTCCTGTACCTGAGAGTAACACCACATGACTTGTTTTTTTGTTTTTGTACCGGGAATCGAACTCGGGACCTCATGCTTGCTAGGCAGGCACTTGTGCCACTGAACTATATCCCCAACATTCTGGTTGTTTTGGATAAAAAAGAAAAACCCTGCAACTTTATTTTTACTTCCATCATTGTTCCACTATTTTCAATAAGCATCAGGTTTTGTTTTCAACACCAGCATTCCTTCCTTTCTCTACTGCCAGAAAGATACTGTGAGTCAGCCAGTATCTGTGATCTGGATACTACCTGTGCATCTTGCCTCGTTTCTACTTGTCCTTCTTCCATATGAGCTACAAGCCCACTTTTTCCAAATCACGCATTTTAGAAAGCCAACTGTCTATTCAACACTAATGGTCTTGTGAATTTCGGCAGTATTATTTAACTGCTTTATGCATGTTCGTCTTCACTTTGCATTTTGTAAACTTCTAGACTTGAACCATCCTTGCTCCACAGGCATAACAGGCAATGTCAGGAAAGAAGGCCTGAAGGCCGGTGTGTTAGACTCCAGACACCTAAATCTGAAATAATGAGATACTGTATAATATTCATTACCTCAGAAATTCGTATTTAAGATCAGCAAAGAAGCTAACCTGGTTTACCTATTATTTCATATCATTGCTATTTATACTCAATTTTGATATCAAATATTTCAGTAAATTGTAAAGAAAGCAATTTAAGGAAGTGTAAACTTATTTTTTATTTATGTTTGCAGTGCTGGGGATTGAACCCGGGGCCTTGCACATGGTAAGTACCTATCTATCGCTGTGCTACCCCTCAGGCTGTAAGTTACTTAATAAAATTCATTTTTCTGTCCAAACATCTGATAGTCTGGCATTTAGAGGGTAATTCACAAAATAAGTGTCAAGAGTTCATTTTAAGTAAACATTCATGTTCTCAAATGCTTCATATTTTTATTAGCTTCTTCCAATCTGGCTGCAAATAACCTGTCAGTAATAAAATATGTCGCCAGACTTGCAGAAAGGCATTAGCAGGAGGACCCTGAGAACTATGTATATGCTGGATTCTCTCGGTGGATGACTACAAGCCTCAGGATACATTGAATGGTGTTCATTTGGGGAATAACTCAAGAAAATCCTTTTCGTGTTTCCTGCAGGAGCTATTGCTTTTTATGTCATGAAGCAATAACATGCCTGAAAATCAGACATCTGGAAAGTTTGGTTTTAAGAATCAAAAATCATTAAAACTAGCCCAGAACCTCAGTGGAAATCTGTCTCGTTGGAACACCTGATCATCAAAGGTTAAACCAACCATGACGATTCTTTTCACATGAAGAATAAAATTATAGAGGTCTGTGATATATCCCCGAAAGACCAGTTCTCCCTTCTGTGTGGGAGTCCGTCTTCCTTCAGCTTTGTCTCGGGGACACATTACAAAGCCACCAGAGTTGACAAATATATTTTAGGTTTTAGGCTGAATCTAAGCAGTTTCCGACATAACCCAGAGAGCTCACCTGAATCTGGGTGGACCAAGACCCGCAACTCTCAGGCTATAATTTCGGAAACTGAAAGAAACTGTGACCAAGCAGTAAGGAAGGAAGTAAACCCTGTTTGCAATAGGAGTAGAGACGGAGTCCTGGGACATTTTCCACCGGCCTAGAGACACAGCTGGTTCCCCAAAACACTGGTCTACAACAGGAAAAGAAAATGACCTCCCGTGAACCCCCAACACCACCGTCCCCTTCCGGGCACCAGTTATCCGCTCTCAGCTTAGAGCTCACGCTCAGGTGTGACCGCTGGACCCTGCCCGTCCCAGGGACGCGGGGGAGGTGACCTCTGCCCGGGTTAAACAGGGCAGGGCGCAGGAGGAGGTGGCCTTGCGGCAGCGCCGAGCACCTGCGCTCGCGAAGTCACGGCAAGGTCAGGGTGTCAGAGACTACGCCGTCCCCCAGCGCCGTCCTCGGGGTGCGCAGCGGCG